TTATAAAATCTTCAAAACATATACACGATCTAAACTATGTAGGTACTAACATTTCTGAAAGTTTTAAGATCGTAGCACTTCTCTATGAGGAGATATAGGTGCAGGGTAACTTTTGTCAGGCACTGTAAGTTGTATAAGGTTAAGTTATATCCATATGATTAATAAATAGCTTACTTTAAAAAGTATTGTGAATCAAAAAACTCTAAATTTAACCAAATATATATGTTAATATGTGCAAATTATGTATTCTTTTATTGATCTAAAAATTAATTATTTGAACTTTTTAATAAATTGTTTCTATTTAATTTTTTTTTTTTTTAAAAAAAAAAATTAACGGTCATATCACATGCCCTGCTTTATTCATGTCATTTTACTAATTCAAAAATTAGTGAGTTACACTATGCCTTATGGCAAAAACTAGAATGTAGCTCACCCAGTTAGTTTGCATAACTAAATACTAACTTAGCACCTATGTGCGACCTGCCAATGATGAGTTCAAACTTCCTGGTTTGGGTCAATCTGCCATAGAAAGGCCCACCCTGAATCACTGCTCTGGTTTATCAGCCCGTCATGACCACCTTCTTTTCCAACCTTCTTCTTCTAGCCTCCTAGATAGAAGAACTCTACCACAAGAACAACAAGAGATTTATGAAATTAAAGGAAAACTAAAAAAAGAGAGAAATCTAAACTAAATGAAAAAAAATAATATACCAAAAAGAAAAATAGAGAAAAGGAGAAAAAGGCCGCAAAGAAGATAGCCATAATGACACTATTTTTGTCTGTACTAGGCTATATAAATTATATAGGTTGTATAGAAAAGAGAATTCTACTTTAACACTATATGTAATAAGAAGAGATGAAAGAAAAAAAATCGTCTAACATCTAGAAATTTCTACACATGTTCCTCCGATCCCTTATAAACTGTCATTGCCTAATTGAGAAGCAGTACCCGAGTTGGCTCATAGCAGATTTCATTTCAGTAGACGTGTCCTAATTTGGAAGCAGTAAATACTGCCGATCTTTTGAAGGGGGTACGCTGGTTTTTCCACTTTTTGGTCAAAATTTCTAAAAAAAAATTATAAAGTAGCAAGAATATGGTAGAAGGTTTTTGGTTGCAAGTACTTTTAAAATTTCTAAGGAGTGTGTTGAAATCTAGAACTTTTGTTGTTTTCCCTGTATTTTTCTTTGAAGTAATAGCCTTAGAGCTTCGTTGACGAAGTTGGGTTTTTCCATACTCCACCAAGATTTTTCATATAAGGGCACCACCTACTAGTTATCTTGTATAATAACGCTCTTGGCTTGCATGCCAAACGTCTCTTTAGAGGAGTCACTTAGAAAAGCAGTTAACCTCTAGACAAACTGCACCGTAAGGCCACGTCTCTTCAACAAAAGTTGTGTTTTTTGTTAATTGAAATTTGGTACAAGTGATTGTCAGAAAGAGTTAATTGTTAATATATTGTTTCTACTTAATTTTGTTAATTGAAGAAACTATAAATTTCATTGAATATTTTTCTACTACATATCAAAAAGCATGCTACAAAAACTACTAATTTTAATTGCTCTTGTTAATATTCTGACTCAAATTATGCTTCTTTTTAGTAACTGTTTGGTGGACCTTATATGCAGAGATAATGTGGGAATCGTAATTCTCTTTATTGCCAGACTTTTTTGTACTTGCTTTTGTTTTTCTGTGCTTCACAGATTTAACTTGTATAGAATTTTAGCACCACTCTTTACATATACAAGTAGATCAGTATCATAATTCATATTATAGAGAAAAGATGTCAGTGCTAGGATAGATTTAGCTTTTGCAGTACCATATTTTTTAGCAAGCTTCTCAATAGCAGCTTGAAGTTGTAGGCTATACTTTTCATAGTCTTTCTTAATTGTTTTAAGAAATGTTTCAAAGAATTCTGGATCATGCCTTTATCAAATACAAAAAAGAGCTCTTTTAGCTTATATAGTGTTTAGTTTAATATATTAAAAATTATATAGAATGCTTAAAAATATAAATATTTATATGTTTGTTGTAATTTGGTTTACACTTACATCAGTTGCAACTTGATCTATGCTCATGTCGGTTGTAGCTTGATTCATGCTCACATTAATTGTAGCTTGATCTATACTTATGTTGATTGTAGCTTGATCTATGCTCATGTTAGTTATAGCTTAATCCATGCTCATGTCGGTTGTAGCTTAATTTATGCTCATATTAGTTGTAGCTTGATCCATGCTTACGTCAGTTGTAGCTTAATCCATGCTTATCCCTTAATTGATAGAGATTTGCAGGCAAATTTGCCTGCATAATTACTATAAATATGTCTCTGATTTACTTTTTTAATTATTTAAAATA